TAAAATAGTTATAAAAATATTTAGCCACACCCACCCATTTAGAATATTAAATAATCTTGCTTATACTTGCACAACCTTCATATTTCGAGTATAAAATTTCATACTCATAAAATTTCATACTTCATAAAATTTCATACTTCATAAAATGTTTATTAAAAATCATTTTTTACTACATAATTTATACGTAAATATTCAAGCAAAATCAGTTCAACTTCTTACAGAACATGAAAGTACATATTAAAAATGGATTTTTAAAATTTTTTTCACAGCTGCAGTAAAAGGAGGTGAGAAATAAGTTTTGTTTTATTTACGAATATTTTGACGATATTTTATTCACATTTAAAGAAATTGATTGTATTTTAGATTATGTTTACATTGATAAATAAACCAGATTACAACACAAAATATCTGTAAATAAAAAAATAAGTTTAATTGAACTTGAATCTTTAGTTATTGGTTATATTGTTTCAAGCAAATATCACTTTCAAGCTAAGATAATAATTCACAAGCTTAGTAATTTTGAGAACCTAGAATTTTGTGATAACTGAATAAATTAATTTTAAAAAAGTTTAAAGTTGAAATACAAAAATGTTAACATTCGTTTTTTTATTATTATATTATTAATAATTTAAAATTAAATAATTATGAACTCTGGAAAAAAATTTGACTAAATCTTACCTTAATGACTAATTATATTTACATAAAAAACTATTATTTAATTAATAATTTATTACTAAAAAATAGCCAATATTAATTCAAGATATATAATTTATCGCATTTAGTTCATAAAGTTCTTATAATTCATAAAATAAATATAATAATTTTAATATTATTTACAGTTGCTGACACACTTGGCCGTAAGTATATTTTTGCATTATAAAATCTTGAAGCTATGATATTTTGGTACTATGATTTTTCATTCAAAGAGTAATTTTTTCTTCTTCTGAATAGTTCATAATTTATATAGATATATACATAAAAAAATACTTATTTCCAAAGAATTTCCTAACGTAATCTAAGAACAATAAATGAAATGTAATTTAAAATAAAGAAAAATTGCGTTTATTATTTAGTCGACAGTAAAACTTTCTGTAATAGCATATCATAACGTGTAAATAGCTCGATGGAATTTTTTCACCTTTATAGTCACTCAAATGATGCTTTATTCTAAAACAATACTTAAAAAATTAAAAAAAGGTTTTTTTTTATTTTTAAATTTATTGTTCTGGCTACGAAGTTTGTTTGTATTGGTATATAAATGCAACTAATAATAATATTATGAAGCATGGGAAATTATCATTTATGATTTTTTTTGAATAACAATAAATTTGACATCAAAATATTTAAAAATAACATAACATGATATTGAATTTTCATTTCTATTAAGCAACATGATTTCTTGTTAATTTTGCAATATTTATTTTCAATGCTTTATAAAATTTGCTATACAGTCTCGCAGAAATTCTGAGAGCATGACAAATATGTCGTATCTAGAAAAATATCTTGTGGGTTACCTGAAGAAGTTTCATTAAAATATATATTTCAAAGGTACATAGTTGAAAGTCTTGTGGCCTTGCGGAATTTTGTTTTTAATGTAAATTTGCAAATTTTTCTTCTTTTTGTTTTCTACTTACAACTGTAAGCCTCATGCTATACTTTGCGGTGCATGAGGAGTATTAAGTCGTTTAAATAACATAAAAAATAAAAAGATACATAGTTTGTAGCCAGATAGAGTTTTTCAGATTTCCCTTAGCATATAAACACATTTGATAGTAAGTTGTACTTTCATAAATAAAAAAAATATAAAATGATATATAGATGGCATGTTCAGGAGCAATCAAATCTTTTTAAATAATTGTGTTTACTGTAGCAAGAGTATGGTTTTAACAATGTTCATTAATTATAACTTTCACACTGGTTGTTTTAAATACAAATTGTGTTATGCTTGCATGAAAATTAAAAATAACAATTTTATTAATAAGTAAAAAAAAACTAAATTTATTTTATTCCAATAGAGTTTTAAATGCTGAAAATTATAACTTCTTTAATTAGTTAAATTTTATTAACAAAATATAGAACTGATTATATTTAAATTAAAAATGTATGCTTCTTTGATGGGAATAACATACATTTCTTCTGTAGAATGTTTTATTAGTTGATTAAATAAACAACAGAGTTTTTTATTTTTTTTAATACTAAATACAGTTTTTAAAAAAANTCAAATTTCGATAACTTACTCTTGTACATAACATTAATCTATTTGCATTTATTGGTTGACAAAATCATATTAAATTAAATTTATAAACCTAAGAATTAAAAAGAAAATTATATGATTCATTACCACATTAAAAATAAAAATAAAATAGTATATGGATAATCCGTAGTGGTTAGTAACTATGAAAAAGTCATAATTTCATATAATTAAGGTTGCAATCATTAGTTTTTTTGGAAATGCATAGGGTGAAGTGATCATGATAAGAAAGAAATATTTCGGAAACAAATATTTCTTATAGTCAGATTTTCAGCAGTTTCTTCTTTTCTATGTGTTGTTGTTAAATCTTCTTGTTAATTGTACATTATTTCCTAGATGTCGTGGATGGCGGTAAGTTTTGAGTCTATATTCAATTACAAAATTTCCTAATTTAAAATAAAAACTGAAACTTTTAATCTAGCAAGTCTTTTTATGATGATAAGCTAGTTAGTTAAAAGAAGAAAAAAAATTGTTATTTCATTCAGTTTTTTTATGATGATTAATTTTTTTCGTATTTTTCTTTAATATTTTTTACGCCATCAGAAATTAGTTTGACTGTTAAATAACATTTCTTGAAAATAACTTCACATTCGTATTATGCTTTAATTTATTTAAAATCTGCTTGCAAATTTAAACAAATAACTAAAATTATAGTTGAACTCCAATTTGTTATGGTTAAAATAATTAATCTCTATCTTATTTCTGAGAGTTCTAAATTTATATTCTAATATTCGATTAAATAAAAATTAACAATCCTTTCATAGTTGAGGCAATATTTTTCAATGTTTTATTGTGAAAACTTCTTCTTCTTCCGCAGAGGACACTATCAATAGGTAGCAAATTTTTCTCAGACCTGACCTACGTACACAAGCATAAATATATTTGAATACCTCTAGCTGTAAAAATCACATAACTCTTTACAAAATTTATAAAAATAGTTATCTTTCTTAAAGGAATATTAATTAAAAAGAATATGAATGTAAAATATGGATGAAAAAGGCACATTTAGATATGCTAACAGCCATTGAAAAAGAAACACAACTCTAAAAATTTATAATCATTAATTATTTTAGACGCTTAACTATTATGAAAACAATAATCTTTCTTAACACTTACGAAATCTACTTTGTAACAAGATCAAATCCATCCCCACAACTGTTTATCAAAAATCGCATTGTATTCTTCTCATATTTACATGTTCTTTGGATTCTATGCCTCAAGCCAAATGTTGAAATATTTCTTTTCGCGCTAAATATATCATCTTTATTAACATAATAATGCTTTATGATAACAAATTTGTCAATTATTATATTTAAAAAAATCCAATTAAAAATACTAGAAAAAAATACATTTCATAAAACAAGGTACTCTCGTTTAATATGGATTTACGAAATAACGAAATTTTAATTTTTGAGCGGATGAATTTATATTAATGTTTGCCTCATATTTATAATTTTTCGTAAAAAAATTTACGGAAAATTAGTAACTTAATGTTTAATTTATTTAGGTTAATTTCCTGCTACATTGCGAAATAAAACTGATACTCAAATTGCTTTAACATTTTATTTTATATTTCAGTTGGAAATGGCTTATTAAGTAAAGTATTTTTGTATATTCTAAAACTTAATATAAAACTTCGGTTAAAAATACAATAACGTTATTCATTTAAAAAAAATAATTAAGTTTAGTTAGCTTTTAATTAGAAATACTCGGGAGTCGAGTTACACCAGATGCGAGTTTAGTCAAATTCGACTTGCTTTTTTTTATAATTAAATCAATAAAATTCTAACATATTCTTACTAAATTCTATCACGTCCTTCTATCACATCTTCCTATCATATTCATTAAAATTCTATTATATTCTTACTAAATTATTTTTATTAAATTAATTACTTTTGAAAACATTCAAAAAATATAATAATTTTCTTAAAAACCTAAAATTTTAAAAATTTAAGTTTCTTTTGTTCTTAAAATGAAACATTAAATGCAAAAACAGTGATTCGAGTTTATATTTTAGTGCCTTCAAACAATTGTTTTTATTATATGATGATTATTTTTTAAAATAATAATCGCAATGATTATTTCATGTAGCTGTAATGATTATTTCATGTATTTTTTGTTCAAGTAGCTGTAATAATAAGCTGTTAGAAATTTAATGGTTCAATTTCAAACAATGGCTAACGCTTAACCAATCAGCAAATTCCATTCCGTTTCTCGCTTATCCCGCTCGAAGGGTTCGTCGTAAAATGTTCTAATAACAATAGTGACCTTCCTCGTGCTTTGAACTATCTGTATGATAAGTTCCATAGCTTTCTGGATGGTTTATGAGTCTATAAAGTACATCCACATCCACCGACAGGCATTTGTTTATGTAGAAAAAGATTATGGTTGTTCTGAAGTTTGCGAATAAGGTAAGATTGTTGTGGTTGTTTTCTCCACGTACTTGTATATTCCTGAAGTAGTTGATAATATCGAATATTTACTTTGCGTTACTTTATGAATATTTGACATCTGAATTGTTTAATTAAGGTGCCGCCTTATAGCTTAACTTCTCTCTCAAGTATACCTGTTTAGAGGAAGTATAGGGAATTTTGAAACACTTTCAAACCTCTCTTTTTTTATTTTTCAGATGTAGTTGATGGGCGTAAGTAGATGGGCTTAATATTTATTTTTACTTCTCTTATCATAAAAATAGTAATCCAGAACATGAAAAAAATCCAATGCATATTTAAATGTAGCCGTATACTAGATTATTTTTTTAAAGACTTGTCTATATATTATGTGTATTTTACTTTAATAAAATAAAAAAACATCATTTTTGATTAGTAGAAAAAATAATTATTTTTCTTTTCTCGAAGTCAGGGAGGGAGATCTGTTGAAAAGGACTAATTACGCCAACATGTTTGTAATAATTATTGTAATAAGCTACAATGTGGGGTTTTAAACTAATTGATAGCTAACCAATTGTTATTAAAAAGTTATAATTAAAAGTGCAGAGCACTTTTTGGCAATGTTAAGACATATCATAAAAAAAATATTAAAACATCATTTTATCTAAATTTTTTTATTACTTTTTGTTTAATCTTAAATCCATGTAATCACAAATAAGCTAAAGAACTTTTGAGTTGATAGAAACAAAACTTGAAATTAATTTATATTTTTTAATTTCATAAGGATCCCATTATAGATCTTTGATATTCTGAATTCGATGCATCAAATTTAAAACGGTGATTTTGGCAAATAAGTTTACATGAGTTGAAAATTTTCTGATTTATTTAAACATATTTGTAATTAAGCATTTGCTCTAATTCAATGCTTATGTTTTGTAACTTTCTTGAAAATTTTCTATCTTAAAGAAGTTCGAAAAATTCATAAAGATTTTTAAAAAAAAATCATGTATACATACATATTTCTCTTCACTTTGAATTGGAACATACAACGTCTATAACAGCTTTCCATCTCACGCTATTTGGGGTCAGATACTTGCCATTCCTCCAATTCACTTATAATTGTGCGGTGCTAATTGTTTTTAGGTCTTCCCCTTCCTCTATTGTCCCTTGAGCGTAAAAATCAAATTTTTTGTTTCACTTTAAATTTCTATAATATATATATATTGTATATATATTGTATATATTGTATATATCTCATATATATATATTGTATTTATATAAATCTATTTCGCTTCATAAAACTAAAATAAAATTTTTCCTTGAATAAAATAATGACTTTTTCTTTTAGTTGCCGGTATTGTCAGAGGTTTTGGAAAATAAATTAAGGTAAAAAATGTTTGTTTTTTAATTTTCTTCATCTTATAATGTATATAACGATATTTTTCTTAATTTAATTTTTATGTCCAAAAACAAAAAAAGTTTATAAAATTATATAAATATATATTGTGTTAAAGCCATGCACAAATTTCAAATCAATAATAATAATTGTTTTTACTAAGCAAATTGAGGAAACAGAATTGACTTTTTAATAGTAAAACTTAACACATAGAGTTTGAAATGGTTTTAAGAACTGGTAATTTTTTTCTTAAAATAATTAGAAATACGTACAACTGATTCACAAATTATTGTTTGAGAGAATTCATAAAGTGTATGTATCGTCTTTTTTTTATCAAAATCCTTTTTTTTTTTGCTTATTTATTTGTTAATTTTTTTATTTCCTACTTTAATTTTGAAATCATTTACCACAATCATAAGGATCAAGATATTTAAGGAGTTCTATGTTGGTATTTAAATTTTTTTTTAAATTTTTCTTCGTTTAATCTTTGTTACTTTTTAGTTTTGTTATTTTAATCTTTGGTATTTTCTATTTTTGTCATTTGTATCTAAGTATTTCCATCTTCTACTTAAATTTACTTACTTATTTATTCACTATAAATTCAGAATTTCATTCTTGAAATTACCTACTTTTTGTTATAAAGGTGAAGATATTTCAAATGTTTTGAATGTGCGCGCTTTTGACGTCATCAACATTAAATGTCATTATCAAAGTTTATAAATCTAAGTTCATACATAAATCAACGTTATTAGAAATGTA